ACACATGTACTTAAACAGTTTTTGCTACAATCTGTCAAAAACACAAAGTCAGTTGAGGACTTCCTTTTCTAGTCAGTGGATTGTGATTAAGTGTACTGTGCCAATGATGCATCTCGACACGCAAGTGACTTTGTTAGACAGATGCTGTGCAACCTCGGGCATTCAAGTTGGCTAATAGTCTTTAGGTTTGGGGAGGAGAGATCTGGTAATTTTTTTTTAAGAGCACAAACAAGAATTAAGGTAAATATATAAGGTCAAGTGTTGTTTCAATTGCCATACGTGTATTTCAAAATTGGTCCCTATGAAGTAGAGTATTAAGGAGGAAAAAATGAAAAAAATCTGACAAGGAAAAGTCCCTTTGGCAAAACATACACTCAGCTTGTGAAACAAACGTAATTTCTGTGGGTAAGCTCTGTGGTTGACATTGGGAATCTTAATATTCAGTAGCAGAGCTGAGTTTGCAGTCTGCATATGAAAGTAGTGCCTGCTTATGATTAAAATTAGCTAAATTTAACTGTAAAAAAAAAAATTGAACTAGCCTTGCAAAATTATCATCTTCCACCATCTTAGCAGCAGAAGTGAAGAACTTTAGTATTTGTGTCATGTCTGTAAAATTAAATATCTTTTTTTCCTGTGGGTTGTGTGTGCGCGAGGGGGTTTAGTTTCTGTTTTATGGGAAGGCTCCTTCAATAAACGTATTTGAAAAAGCTCACCACAATTTAAACTTGTTTAACTAATACATTATGCAGAGTAAAAGCTTTATAAGTTGCTGTAAGCAAATGTGTGTGTTCATTTCTGAAGACCTGGTGGTGTTTTAAAGGAACTTTCTGAGAAAGTAAGATGGCAGACTGGAAGAGTGAAGCATGTGCTTTCAGGAAAGTCTTTTACAGGCATGAGGAAGTTGCTAAAATACTGTAATTGCCTTCAGATCTATTTTTGGTATTTGTGAACAGAATATTAGCCCACATACCTTTGTAGTAAAACAATTTTTTTCCTTGTGAGAAGTGCTACTTTTCCACTCAGAATCTATCAGAATACCATAGAATCTGGCTGAGTTACCTGAATATGCGAGACCGCCCTTTTAGATGTACTGAACAAAAGAAGTGCCTGTTTTATGGAGAAGTGAAAGGAAGAAGCTGGATGTTTAATCTTATATACTGTATCCATTAGAATGATGAATGGAGTAGATGTAAGGATGCAACTAACTCTTACTAGTCCATGCAACCATTTTAACATAAAATTAGTTGTTGTCCCTTCACTACTGTCCATGGCAATGTTTTTATCCCTTATCTGCAAGAATGAACCTACCATTTTCTCTCTGACACAACTCTAAACCTCAACTTTAAACATTGCAAATAATTAAAGATCATTTAAATAAAAGTACAGAAAATTAAATACTAGTTTTGCATATAAAGTGGGCTTAATGTTCTAGGTGTGATTCCAGATCACACTTTTAGACTGTTAACTTCACATTCATATTTAACAAATGACATTATTCAGTTTCATGGGGTCACTGTGTCAAAATGTCTGTGTTAGAACTTTAATTTATTTCCAAAGGTTCTTGGAGTGGGCAGATAGGAGTGGTATGTTAGAATGATTTACCGTCTCCGATTCCCCATGTGGATTTTAAGGCTTGGAACATAGTCTATGATGTAAATTTTAAGTCTAGATGGATTCAGCTGCTCTGTGGTGGCAGGCTGAATGAATGGGACTCATATCCCAAATATGGGAGGCTGACTCTTTTCTTAAATATTGATGGTACCTCTAATTCTATCTCCTGATCAAAGTGACAATTTATCTACCTCTCTCTGATTAGCATTAATAGCATATATGCAGGTGTGGTTGTGGCCAAATTTTGCTTTTAGTGTCCTGTCTTGGAAAGCCTGATGGACGCTAGTGAAATCAGCACTTACTTGATGTAGACAAGAGATCCCAGTCTGAGAGTGTGAAAACTGAAGAGTTAGGGGAAGTTTTTTAAAGCTGTCAATGAACTTTGTTGGATTATAGGCTATTTTTTTTTTCCAAATTTATTTGCTGGGCTATAAATTAATTCATGTGTATCAGTGATGATCTTTGCTGTGGGACTGCTGACTTTGTACTCTAGGATAGTCAGGCACTGAGTATAAATTTCACTGACTGACTAAAAGTGCAGAGGAAATGAGTGGGTAATGAAAGCAGAGCAGCCAGTTCTTTAATTGAATTAAAAGCTGGGTGACACCAATGCAGACACCTGTCCAATTACAGACAGGCCAAGGTGTTTACCATTGCTGTAAAAGCGATTTGAAGATGACAGAAATCTTTCCGCCCACAGATTAACATAATGAAGGAGAACAGATTACAGTGGATGCCGGCCAAACAGATAGGTTGGCAGCTGAGAAAAAAGTAGTTTGCTGAAGTATGTAAATAAAATCTGTGCACTATCTATTGCCTACCTATGCAGCACATCTGTTTCTTTGTTGAAAGAAAATAGTGCAAGAGTACATGTGAAGAAAAAACATTAATTAGGAAATGGAAAAATTATTTTTTAAGTTGCTGCCTTTGCTGAACAATGTAAACAAACAAACAAACATAAACTTCCTGTTGCAAAAGGGTTTATTTGGGGTTTTTTTTGTTTCAAATTCTCACTACCCTTCACAAACCAACCTATGCAATGTACACTTTGTTGCACTGAAGGTGCTTTATATAAAACCTTTCTACTTCGTGAAAAGTAAACCAAACGGCACAATCCAAACCTTCTACAGCTATGGGCATCTTTCTGGATATGTGCTACTGCAGCTCTCAATGCCTGAAGCCATTAGTGACCCCACAGAATGTCTTCCATCAGGAAATGCAAGGAGCATTAATTCACTGCTTTGTAAGAAAAGAATTGTACAAGTGCTAAATGTACAAATAAAACTAAATTGCTTCCTAAAGCACATCAGAGTGAATAGAGAGATGGCATATACGCTGTACATGCTCCTCTTAACTGAGAACTTGCAAATGTCACAGTTAAAGGATTTGGTTTCTGCATGTGTTTATTTTCTGAAGGCAATTCCAATACTACTTTTTATACTTTCTCATGTTTAACCCTCTGTGATCTGGAAATAAGTGCTTTGTACTAAGTCTTATGCATAAAAGATGGTTTTTTGATTGTTGAAATTTCTGTGCTGAAGAATTACGTGTAGATTCCAATATTGCTGCTTTACAGGTATAGTAATGCTTTAAAACATCATTATTTTCCATTTTCTGCCTTTTAAATGCACTTAAAAATATTTGTCTTCTGTCATAAAAAGATTGCAGTCACGTTTGCTTGGTGATAGCTGGCACAGAACTCTTTTCCTTTCCTATTGAATTTATCTTGGATAGTAAGATGGCAGTGCAGCTTTCTACTGTTACCTAGGGATTTGCAAAATCAAAACTATAGAGAGTAGATTCTGATCTACCGATTTTAGTTTAACTACTCTGAAGTGAATGTGATTACTTCTGAGCACCTCCTTGTGTGTCTGAGTAAAGCTAGATCTCAGAAAATTCAATTAAATCATTGCAATACCAATCTTTGAAAATTTTGGATTAATTGCAAGAAAATTCTCAAGTATTACTGATTCAGTGAAAGCTAATCTCATATGTACCATGTGAACACACCTATTAGTAAACACAATATAAACATACACAATATAAATATTCACAAACTTACTCTGATTGTCCCACTCAGAAAAAAATATATTTATAGTGTAATTATTAACTTCCAGCATCAAATTCTCCAATCCTTTTTTGTGAACATAAAAGTCTTATATGGGAAAAAAAAGACAATTTTTAGGGTACTTTTGAAACACAAAGTTATGTTGCATTCCTTGTAGTAACTCAGTGGAGAGTAATAATAAAGACTAATTTCTTCCACCTGCTTGTGTCCATGTAATGTTGAGGGGTTTTGCAGTTATATGGTACTATGGGATGTTTGGCCAAGAATTATGGTTCTCAGAGGGACTGTTGTTTTTGAAGCTGCTTTGCAAAATGCCAGTATTGGACAGTTCTGAAATAACAGGTTGATCCTTTTTTTTTTTTTTTTTAATATGAAACATCCCATTGATTTCACTAAAAGCTGTGAGAGTCAAGGTGAGAACATGATTTGAAATAAAACTTGACATAGATTGGCCTTCTTTTAATTACTTCTGCATTTTTATACCATATTACCTTATTGTCAGACCTACTTTGACATGGGAACTGCTGATGTTTCTGAAAATGATGGTAAACCACATTTTTTCCATGTAGTCCTTCTGTATATTGCAGTTCAAAATATTGTGTAACTTCCTGAAGGGGTAAGCAGTGATTTGTTGCATTTGGTATGACAAGGAGCTGATCAATATGTGGAAATTTAGCAACTTCTCTTCACTAACGTAAGCAGGACCTGAAAAAGCGTAAGATTACAGATCTTTTTTTTTTTTTTAATCCCTTGGGTACTGTGTCACCTGAATTATGTTTCTGTAGTAGTATAGAAAATATATAGTCTATACTCTGCCTCTTAAGTAATGGAACACAATTGGGATTTTTCATACAAAAAAGAGATTTCAGTTTATGGATGAACCAGGATAACATTGGAGAGGAATCATTAAAATAATTGTTCTGGGACACAGTGAAATTTCCTTGGAAAGATAAAATGAATAACTGAAAAAAAACTTCTTTTGGGAAGGACTAAGAGAAACACTTGAGTTTGTCACTGTTAAATATACTGATTAAAATATACACCTCAATCTTGAGGTAATATCTGTTACAGTGAGAATACCTAATGAAACTTAGGTGCATCATTAGTATTAAGAGTAGAGTAAAATACTGTTTACTTTTATTTCACAAAACTTAGGTCCTGGCATAATAGGAATTAAACCTTAAAATACTTTTTCTTTCTTGTCTGTAACATTGGAAGCCTGTAACAGAAAACTTTAATTTTTCACTTCTGCCTATGTATGTATGTATGTAATCAGTCTGTACACTGTATGTACATTACACCTTGCTTTCTTCTGTTGCAGGCATATTGACAGGCTTGCATCCCTTCACAAACTATGCTGTAACCCTAACTGCTTGCACTTTGGCTGGCTGTACTGAGAGCTTGCACGCATTGAACATCTCCACTCCACAAGAAGGTAAAATAATTTCAAAGGTCTTGACTTCCACATTTCAGTCATGAATAATAAAACAGGAGAAGAGCTAAATGCTGCAAAGCCATTTGCTGGAAAACCCCAACCTAATTTGATGACAAAGTGCATTGCCAGACCATAATTGCTCCATTTTTTGGGGGGGTGCGAAAATGAATCAAACTCCATACCCTTTAATGACATGCATCTTTAATAGCTGTAATGCAGATTAATGGGCTTTTTAATTGCTGTTACATTGTTCATGCAAGAGCCTTGTCATTAATATGAAGCATCTGAAAGATTAATGAAAGCTTCCTCATTTTACTATGGCTCAGAAGTAAATCTAGAGACAGTCTGACTAAAAAGAATTGATTGTATGGCACAGTATGAAATTGAGAATCAAACGGTTGATTTCCATGGTTTCTTTTAACTGCTAAACACCAGCAATAGGCAACAATTATTTCAGTGTGATGAAGCCTCCAAATGCCGATAGAGTTATTTATTAATCACTGTTCAGTTTTTGTCTTTTTTTTTTTTTCAAAACACATCTACATGTTGTTGTGCTCAAACCTAAAGGTTGTGAGTGTAAGTTAATGTTTTCTATGCTTATGTTAAGTACTAGAGCAGGAAGAAAGAGAAAATACATTATTGTTCTGACTTTAGAGACGAGAGTGATGTGATACACATCAATTATTGGAGCACATGCTCCTAAAATACCTGTGAGATATCTAACTCCATTCCCAATTAAGCATAATGTCCACATCTCCCAGTTCTATCATCCTAAAGCCATGTTAATTCAGTTAAAATCATCAGTTACTCCACATTTACACCAGTAGAATAATTGAGACTTCGACATGTGTTTATAGGACAGTAGTTAATCTTTCATGATGTGGAGTAGTTTTCAAAATTCCCTCCCTCCCACAGTTCTTTGTTTTATCTTCTCATGTAAACTAGGTAGTAATACAGTACCAGTAAAACAAATAAAATTTTAGTATGAAGTAATGTGAATTACAACCATAATAATTAAAAGAACGCTGGAGTGTTGAACTGCTGCCAAAGCAGGTAGTCATGCAAGGTGTTGCCCTGATGAGGACAGTCCTGAAGATTGCAGTCTAACATTGCTAGAACAGCATTTTGATGTAAGCATGCTAGCCACTGCCAGCAGCACCAGTCAAATCAAAACCCAGTTATTGATACTTGGAAGTTCTAAATAAACTGAGTTTGGTGGCATTATACATGAAAGGGTGTGGCCTCTGACAGCCAAATAGTTAATGGACCCTGTGATGTAAAGAGGAAGTACAGTCCTTCTGGTGTAATATCTTAATTAAAAAATAAATTATGTCTTATTTTCTCAGTCTAGTGAAAAAAACAGGAATTCTTACATGTATTTGAGAAAAACTTCCTCTGTTTCCAGATCTGCTGTCACATTGGGAAGGTTTAGGCAAGAATAGATTTTTAAATTTCCCCACCCCACCCCCCAACCCCCCCGAGATCAAATAAAGCATTGGGGAACATGTGTTTTATCTCTCAGAAGAATTGAACAAGAAGTCAGTGTGTGGAGTTTCTATTTTTGGATGCTCTTGTTGCATGCTCTTAGTAACAATAAATTGATGATACAGAAGACAGACACCATATCACACCCTCCAGCTATCCCTGTTTCCCTATTGAAACATTCATTACTTTATATTGTTTTCACATTGCCAGCCACTGCTAGTTATTGTTTTAAATTGCTAGCACAGAGCTTGTAAATTACAAGATATTCCTCCCAGACTAAGGCCTGAGTTCTGCTCCCTTTGTGATATTCAGTGGGATTGCTTGTATTTCTAGCATATAACTCATTGCAAGGGTGAGAGAACTCAGCATTTAAATTATTGTCCATTGCCAACTTCCAGTATATTATATACATAAAATTTAATCTAAACAAACATTGATAAGTGTATTGAATTATGGAAAGTCTGAAATAAGAGGTAGTGCTTAAGAATAAAGTGTCTGCATGTGTGATTAGAAAGAATGATCTCTTTGTAGTTAGAAATAAAAAGTTTGTAGGAAGAGAAAATAATTTTTAAAAGCAGCACACTGAAATTGTGTACCCCTCCCCTTGCTCACCGTTATCAAGCTGGAAAGATAAAGTTATATATGCATAATTATTCTTCTAAAAAGCAAAGAGTATATCCTTGTCTTTCACAGAAGTTTCTGTTTGGCTAGGAAACCACCACATGTAATAGAAGAGTTCTCAAAATGCTAGTATATTGCAACCATAAAACGTCTTCTGAAATTTCAACTTTACCAAAAATCCTTCTGTTAGTAGAGGCTCACAGAAAGTATTTATCTGTGGAAATACAGTATAATGTAACGTAACATAACATAATATATTATAATGCAATGTAATGTAATGTACATTTTTTTCACCAGCCCCTGAAGATGTGCAACCACCCACAGCAATATCCTTTCCCACATTCTTGCTGATGAGTTGGAGTCCACCAAAAAAACCAAATGGTGTTATTATGCAATATACTTTATATATGAACGGAGTACCAATTTACTTTGGAAATGGAACCAAGTGTGTTGTAAAAGGTGAGTTCAGTGGCAAGTAGCATGTCAGATGGGTATCTCATAGTTGCTATGAATAGTTATATAACTTCGCCTTTCTTATTTTGGAGGAAGAGAAAAAAGAAATTAAATAGTGGGCTGGATGCACTTTAATTCCCAACAGGTTCCATTTCTTAAAGAATCCTTCATATAACTCTGTGTTGAGACTCTTAGAAATGAATGTTGCTGTGGTGTAGCTAAATCTTGCGCTGTGTTGTTCTCTTCCAAAGGGCATGAGTTGTATTTTTAATGGTTTTATAACTTTTTGATCTTTTAGTATCCAGCTCTCAAAACAAGTAAACTGTTACCTGTTGAAGACAAGATATGACATATAGATTTAATTAATACAGCTTTAACAGTTTTTCCTACTGTTTTTCTTAGATGTTCTTAATTAGAGCCCCACTGTGTTTGTTTTCTGAATGACCCATTCATTTGTTAAAAGCTTAAACTAATAATCTGTTTTCTTCTGATAACAGTTATCCAACATGTCAATAACAAAGTTGTATCAGTACTCTTAAACTATTATATAGAAGCTAAATGTTATTTGGTACTACAGTGAAACATAGTAATCTGACTTCCTATTTTAATGTAATAGGTGTAGTTTCATGAAGTATCCAAGGTGTGTGTTCAGTGATTATTCTAATGGCAAAAAACCAAAATAACCCCAAAATATTCATCTAGAAGTATTGTAAAACAATATAAATGTCATTCTGGACCCCTTAGAATTTGTATATGTTAGTAGGTACAAGTAAAAATAAAGCATTTTGTAACAGCCAACTCAGGGAGAAAAAGGGTATCAAGACCCTACTTTCTTTTTAATGTAAGGCCTTAAAATTCAAAGCCATTTCTGCATCTTGAGTTAGTATAAAACATATTTAAAAATTCATATAGTTCAAATTCCTTTGCCTTGTACAGGCCATAAGCTACTGGTGTGGTGGGTCAGTTTTGACACTGAAAAATGAATCCAGTTAGAGAACCTCCTGAAGGCTGTTGATGATCGCTATAATAAATAGTGCACACTTTAAGTCAAACTTTTTCATTCTGTATTCAAAGGTAATGGATTTTTCGTAACCATAGTAACCTTAGTGTATTTCTGGATAAATACATGAGGTATATACATTCTGGTTTTATTTTTGAATATAAACTACCACATTATGTATTACTAATAATATGAAAAATAGGATATAGGTTAGCATAACGACAGCTTAAACTAGTGTGCATTTTTCTTCTGCAAAAAAATAGTTATCAGAAGTATAGGTTCAATTAATTTCTCCCCATCCCCCCAGTTTTCTGGTATTCTTGAACTGCCATTTATCTTTTTTGCAAGATCTCCATTAATCTCTTATTGCCATACTATAATACTATTCTTAAGAATCTTTGAAGTGCAAATAGTTGTGCTTCCAATCTTATTAAAATCATTACTGAAAGTTCATCAAGGGTAGTTTTAGTGATGCGTTCATCTGCAACATGGTTATAAATTGAAAAACAAAGTAAAACATTTGAGGAAATGCTTACCGTAATATTTGGTTGGTTTTAGATACATGTTTAATTGTGTTCTGACTTAGGACCAAAATGAGTGCTTATTGATAGAAATTGCGGTCAGGTAGCTTTTGTAGTAGTTCTTTCAAAATACAGAAAAGGATAAGTTAAAAAGGGTCAGGACTTGATGCTCCATGTTCTACCTCTAAATCTTGATTGATAGATGAGAATACATCCAGCTAAACTAGTCTAAGGAAAAGTCATCTGGTTCATAAGCTTCCTAGAGCAGCTCTTGTTGCTTTCACTTAGAAATTATTTATCTTTTTCTAGAAATTTTGATAGTTTTGTTCCTATTAAGCATTTCATAACTTTGATTTCAATTAAGTTTTTAGGCCAACATAAGATGTAAAGTGAATGGAGGAATGTGCTTATTCAAAAGAGAAAGCTAGTGAAGCAGATTGTGTTGGCCTGTGCAGTGCTGCATAAGAGCCAGTCTTGCCTACCATTCTGAACATGGCATGGAGATCAGTCTGTTTACTTTGGATCCATTTTATTTAGCTGCCAGTTTCTCACTCTGCTTGAGGGGGAAATGGTGATCTGAGCCAGCAGGCTGGTAATTTGGTCACTAGTAATCCCAGTCATTCTGAATCAGGTTTATTCAACATCTCACTTAGACCTGCATATATCATTAATATGAATATGATATTCTTCTTTTTAGGCTACTGCTAAAAGAGGTATAACTTAATCTTTTTTGTGTGATTTTGTGTTTCTCCCCACCCCCAGACGTTTGTTTTCCAGTGAAAAGTTGCAGCTTTTGACTTTCCATTCCTTTTTGTCTCTTCCCGTATTATTATCCTTCTCCTTTCAACATTTATGCTAACGATACTGGTGACTTATTGCCTCAACATCATATTTTATTGTCCCTAAACAGAGAGACAAAGTTCATGGTCTCTGATACCTGTTTCCTATTCATTCGCCAAAATGATTCTCCTAATATAATAACTGTATGACTGAGTTCCTGAACAGTAGTCTATACCAGTAAGTCATAGATTCTCTCTGTGTTTTTTGAAGTGCTGTATCCATTGAAATGGTTTTTTAAAACCTTTGTTTTCATGGAGGCATCAGTTGTCTAAAAATGTGTACTTCACTGACTTTCACTTCAGACTGTAGCAAGTGCAATCAGTTGAGGCCCACACTAATTAATCTATAACTTGAAGAGGGACACGTTTTCTCAACAACATAATTGCAAATATATTGTTAACTTAGTTTCTGATCTTGACAGTTGTTGAGGGCTTGAAATACTCATTGATTTTCATGGAAATTCAAGTGTTCATTTCCTCTAGGGGTTGAACTGTAATTAAAAAGGAAACCCTTTAAAAGCACGTATGGCAAATGTACACTTCACCACATTGAAAAGGGGAACCCATTAGTCATCCATCATCCATTAGTGCCTTTAAATATTTTCCCCGTATTGACAAATTCTGTTTCTGTGTTGTGAATAACAAAACACTGAAATGAAGCTAGCCTCTGTGCCGTAACACCTTTCTTAACTGTCTGACTGCAATTTTTCTGCTTCCCTCCTTTATGCATTTGTCTCATGCGGTACTACTTCCTCATGCGACCTGGGTGCTATTTCACATCCTGAATTCCAGTGAAAGCCTAGTGTCTTCAATGGGTAGAAACAAGCCAAGAAGTACTCAGGATCCCAGGTGGAATTCAGGCTGTGTGAATCCATGCCCCTCTATTCATTCTTTCAGTTCCTCAGTGAGAATACAGAAGCTCCTGTAACCAACAGCTGCAGCTCAGGAAAGCGATGGCAGTAGGATCCTGCTCTTCAAACCTGCATACCTTACTGTTCATCTCTACTGGAGATAACTAGCGGTTGAGAAGAGATGGAGAAGCTTGTACAGTTATCTTCAAAACTAACATATAGACACTGATGTTACAAAGGCTTTTGATTTTAGAAAAAACTGAATTGATTTTTCCTGTGGAGAGGAAACGCACTTCTCACCCATCCAGACACTCACAGGCAAAACTGAAGCTTTTACTTTAAAACATGGAGATTTTTAATGTAATTCTTTTTTTTGGTGTTTGTAATTTTGACAATTTATTCTCTCTTGCCTTCTCTTTTCTTTAAATTAGTCTCCAATATTTCCCACCTGCCTTAGATTAAAGAGAAAACAGGGTGGGTTTTATACTGAAAAGTGTTAGACTGCAGTGGCCTGAGCTGGTGGTGTTAATACCACCAGAAGAAATGTGTCTAATAAATGCAGAAATGGTACAGTATAAGCAGAGACAGTAAGGATCGGATGTGACCCAAGTGCCGAGTTTTCCTTTCATGGAAAAATTATTGTTGTGAGAAAACTTTAAAAAAAAAAAAAAAAGAGCAAAATATTCCTCTATTCTTTAATGCTGAGCATTTGGAAAGTAAGTAAAGGTGTTCATGACCTAACAGGTTTAAAAAGGGAAATGACCCTAGATATCTTTAGAAAACAAAAGATGTATGAAATTATCTTTGCACTGAGTTTGGCATTGAGGATGTATGTCTGCATTTTCTGCAGCACTATATACTTGACAATGTTAACAAATTGTGATTGCATAATTTCCCTTGCAGAATCTAATGGTTCTCGTCATGAATCTTTAAAAGGAAGATATTCTTATTAAGACTCAGCTGTATGAAGCTTATTTTTCTCTGCCAACCCGAAAGAAGTGTTTCCAGATTTTCAGAAAAGAGATCCTGTCACCTATGTTACAAGGACAGATCCTCAACTGGGTTAGATGAGTGTAGAGTTGTGCTAAATTACATGTCCAAGAGTTTAAAAAATTGTCAGACTGCTTTGTACCAGGTTTCAGGAAAAGGTATTAAGGAGAGACTTGGAAAGCATGAGAAAGAGCGATCTTCACAATTTTGTCTAAGAGCATGAACTAAGCTTTGGTTTATTGAAATCATTATTTGACCTGAGTGTGGAACGTCTGATCCTGCAAAACCAGGACAGAGTGGGAGCCTTGTTTTTCTGTGAGGAAGAGGCAGATGTTTGACATCTGTGCAAACAGGGCTTAGCATAACTGAACTTAAAAATGGGAAAACCCTAAATCAGTACCTACATTTTTTTTTTCATGTTGCTGTAAACCAGTAGTAATTACATTACACACTATGCACAGCCATACACAGCTGTTAATTTGTAGTGAAAAAATATCTTGTTTTTGTCTTTTTGATCACTGTGACTACTGTTGCTTGTTTTAAATTACAGATCATGGTAATAAAACCAAAATCCATCGTAATATCGATATTGTACTAATTGCCAACTGCAAGAATTTGAGCAAGAAATCCACAGAATTGTACGCTGAGGGTAACTGCATTAAGATGTATCACTGCAAGAAGCTGAATCCTTGAGAAGAAAATACTTACTATGTTAGGTTTAAGATACAGTTCTCATGGTTACTTTTCATAGAGCTTTTAGTTACAGCCACATTTAAAACCATCAATTTCCAACCCTAAGGGTTTG